TAGGATATTCTCTTTTCACTTTTTTTCTTTCACATTTATTGAGTGTTACAATGTACCAAATATTGTTCTAAGTGTTTTATAGTATTGACTCATTTAGTTCTCAAAAAGGTAAATAACTTGGTAAAGGTCCCAAAGCTGGTAAGTGGACAGGATTGGGATTTGAACCCAGGGAGTCTGGCTAGAGAAGTCACATTCTTTTTTTTTTCTTTTTTTAAAATATATTTTTATTGATTTCAGAGAGGAAGGGAGAGAGAGATAGAAACATCAATAATAGGAGAGAATCACTGATCAGCTGCCTCTTGCACACTCCCTACGGGGAATTGAGCCTGCAGCCCTGGCATAAGCCCTGACTAGGAATCGAACGTGACCTCCTGGTTCACAGGTGGATGCACAATCACTGAGGCACGCCGGCTGGACAGAGGTCACTTTCTTACATACCATGCTCTCCTACCTTCTCTGTAGAGAAGTGTAACTTTTGAGCAATACATGTAATATGGTTATTATCAACACAGGTAGATGGCATTGTCATTTTATAAAACAAAGGGATATAAAGTCCCCTGGGACTACTGGAAATACCTTTATTGCCATAATCTTGTTTTCATAAAGCACTGAACCGCCTTTTAGTTTTCTTCATCTTATAAATGATATAATTTCTTCATAATTTTCTTTTTTTGGTTAATCCCTCTATTACACTGCAGGAAACATAGCTGCTTTTAACTTTCCCTTATGTTGGATCTTACTGTTGTATATCATAGGTCAGTGATGGCGAACCTTTTGAGCTCGGCGTGTCAGCATTTTGAAAACCCCTAACTTAACTCTGGTGCCGTGTCACATATAGAAATTTTTTGATATTTGCAACCATAGTAAAACAAAGATTTATATTTTTGATATTTATTTTATATGTTTAAATGCCATTTAACAAAGAAAAATCAACCAAAAAAATGAGTTCGCGTGTCACCTCTAACACGCGTGTCATAGGTTCACCATCACTGTACATAGGCCCTACCCATAGTTTTATAAAAGATGTCTTATCAAGACCTGTGGTGGGAGCATGCCTGGGAAAGCCTGCAAGATGAATTAATTAGCCACACCCACCTAAATCACGTTGTCTACCAGGGTGACTCAAAGGCCTCACTACATGCTTCTTTTTGTTCTCTGCTGGAAATGACATTTCTAGGTCAGGAATTCATTGCTGATTTTCTGAGAATATAATTACTTTGTGGCTTTCTTCCCTTTTGCAGGAAGATCTGTTTCAACAGCCGGGCCGAAGGTTGGAATTTGAGCAAATCAGGGACTGTTTGGATACTGGAATGATTGAGAACCTTGATACCCTCTGTATCCTTTGTGTGTGTGTGTGTGTAAGAGAGGTGAGAAAAAGGAAATAATATTTTAAGGTTCAAAATCAGACATTGTGCCCTCAGCTATCATGTTTTTCTTACTTAAAGTTTGCATAGAGAAGTCTTCACAACGTTAAGCAACCAATATAGTAGGAACTAAGGAGGGCCCAACTAAGCTGACATACAGCCTGGCTCCTTCCAGCTAGCAGGCAGGTAGCACTTCTGGCATGTGGTCGGCCCTGGGCCTTTTCCTACCCATGGGCAGCAGCACCACCTGTTCCTTAACGATGGGCCAAAAGCCCTTAGCAATCATTCGGTAGCCGAAGCCTTGCTGCTTTTCCTGGAGAGCCTGCCAGAGCCCGTCATCTGCTACAGCGCCTACCATAACTGCTTGGAGTGTTCTGGCAACTACACAGCAAGTAAACAGGTGAGGGGAAGCACTGAGCATCAGCATACACAAGTTGTAGCCCCAGGCCTCCTGGGGCCTGAGGGAACAGAGCAGTCACAGCCCCTCACATGCAGTATCTTAGAAACTCACCTGTATCTTTCCTTCCCAAACCTGTTTTTCCTCTCCTCCCCTTTTTCTTTTAATGGCATCACACTTAATTGTAGTGACTCAACCCAGAAACCTGAGTCATTTCTGACTCCTCCATTTCTCACCTCCCACACGCCCAGTCCCCTTGATCTGCCACCCATCTTTTTTCTTCCGTTCTCCTTCCACTTTCCTGGGTGCAGGGCCCTGCGTTGAGGCTCTCCCTCTGCTGATTTGTTCCGTACACTGCCATTAGGTTGTGTTTTAAAGCTCTCCTCGTGTTCCTGTTTGTCAAAGGCCATACTTGGCTTTCTATTGCCGATGAATGATTTTCTGAAACATTCAAGGCTTTCTATGATCGACTCTAGTTGCTCACATATGTATGTAACAGAATCATCTAGAAAACCTGCTGCTAATACAGGTCCTAGAGCCTCATCCCACATTCACTCAATCAAAATCTCTTTGGAATATACTTTGTACCAGCTTCCTCACTGATTCTCCTGTGCAGATAGATGGAGTACTCACTGAATTCTAGCCTGATCCCTTCCAGGCTTAGCGCCTCTTCAGTGATGCTCCTGCCAACAATGACTTCACACAAAGTGCTCTCTCTTTATTTCACTGTTTTCCTTCTCTTGTCCTTTTTTATGCTTTCTTTGGTCCTAAAAACCCTAGTCCTTACCTCTGCAAGTCCAGTCTTGTCTTATATTCAAAACCTATGTCTTCTATTTCCTTAAGTCTTTGGAGAGCACATAGTTAGAAGCTTGACCTCTAAATCCATGTAGTACTTGATTTGTGCTTCTCTCTCTCTTTTGATCTGTGCTTCTCTTTTGGCACTTGTGCCAGATGGTAAGTGGTCAAAGTTTTCTGTGCACAGTCTTATTCATGTACTTGGATCATGTACTCAATTCCTGGAATATAGCAGACACTTATTTAATTGAATGAATAAAAAGGCAAATCCCAATTCTGCCTCTTTCAGGTCATTTCTACTCTCCCCACATTCCACAAAAATGTCTTCCACTACTTGCTGGCGTTTTTGCGACAGTTGCTGAAAAATTCAGAAAAAAATCATTTGGATGAGAATATTCTAGGTAAGTAGCCAAGTGTCTGTGGGAAGCATCTCTGCAGGCTGAGAGACTCATTATAAGAAATGTGGTTGTGGAAGGTCCCAAGTCCACTTAATAAAACTAAAATCTCAAGCTCTGGGCAAAGTTTACCTTCAAATAGGATTTAAAGCAGAAAATTTGCTTTTGGGGACCCTTCCCCACTCATCACAACACAAAAAAATTAGCACCTTCTTTTGCTGAATCATTTGTCTTCTGTGTTTTTCATGCAGCTAGCGTATTTGGCAGCTTACTGCTTCGAAACCCAGCTGGTCAACAAAAGCTCGAAATGGCAGAGAAGAAGGCTCAAGAATTCATTCACCAGTTCCTCTGCAACTCACCCTGAGCCTCTCTGTCTCTTCGTCTGTTTGACCGGAAGCATCCAATTACCAGTCCCACCTGTTTCCGTTGGAGAGTGGCCTTCGGAGGACGTGAGGCCACTTGGAAGCTAGAGTGGCAACTGCCAGCTTCCTGAGCCCAGGCCATTCCCCCCACATGGCTATCACACTTAGAGCTGCTGCGAGTTGTGAGGACATGCGAGAAACCCACCACAGTAAAACTGACATGCAATGTTCAACTTTAGTTAATTTAACACAGATAGATTATTTTTTTAAAGATTTTTTAAAAATTGATTTTTTAGAAGACAGGAAGGGAGGAGAGAGGGAGAGAAACATCGATACGCTGCCTTCTGCCTGGTCTCCCCCCATCTTCCCCCAGGGATCGAGCCCCCAACCCGGGCATGTGCCAGAGACGGAACCAGAAACCTTTTGGTGCACAGGACAATGCCCAACCGGTCAGGGCTCTATTTTTTTTTTTAATGTTTAAATAACCGTACTTGTGCTCACTCAGCCTGTCTCCAGGGCATAGTCAGTGCTTTCCCTGTCACCTGGGCTGCGCTCCCCATGATCAGATATTTGAACACACTTTGGAACTGAAAGGAGAATAAGTCGACTTGGACAAGAATGCAAGTGGCAGCTGCAGGGTAAATAGGCTATAGCCACCCAGATGCTTCTAGCACGCTGTCTGTGTACATGTGTACATGCAGATGCAAACCCTATTCCCTTTCCTGCTCAGATGTCGTGCAACACCTCCGGGGCTGGCCACTCAGCCACGGCGGTCAATACAGTGGCTTGAAAATGAAAATATGGAAGAAATTGGTGTTCTGGTTAAACAAGTGGGACTTTCTGGGCCAGCAAATTCTCCAAACTGTATTTGATGCATTCCCTCTCTCATATGTGTAATATATTTTAATGATAAATGTTATTTTTAACAGTTGTTATTTGTGTTTTTATTTCTTAAGAGATGGCAATTCTCTGCGGCTGGACTTCTGCAGCGTAAGCATTGGGTGGCTGGTCAGGGGCTAGAGAGAGATTTGCCTGGCATCTGGTGGGTGCAGTCACTATTCACATTTTTAAAAAAATATATATTTTTATTGATTTTTTACAGAGAGGAAGGGAAAGAGATAGAGAGTCAGAAACATCGATGAGAGAGAAACATTGATCAGCCGCCTCCTGCACATCCCCCACTGGGGATGTGCCCGCAACCCAGGTACATGCCCTTGACCGGAATCGAACCTGGGACCTTTCAGTCCGCAGGCCAACGCTCTATCCACTGAGCCAAACCGGTTTCGGCTATTCACATTTTTCAAGCAAGAGATGGGACAGGCATGGCCTGAACCCCTTGACTAGTGTTCTAGTCTCTGGGGGTTGTTGCACTTGGAATATTCCATACAAGTAGCTTAGGGGAAAAACAGGCGCTGGCTGCTGGGATGTTCTAACAGCTGGATCTTCCAGGGATTTAGAAAATTGTAGAGCATAATGACGTCATAATCAAAAAATTGCTCCTTGGGCCCTGAAACACCACTACTTGGCAGTGTAAAATGTGACTTACTAGGATAGGTACCAGCCAGTAGCATGACGATGTGAGCCGTTGGGAATGGCCAGTAGGTGGCGCTGGCCGCCCCGGCGCGAGTCCGGCTGGGAGCCCACAGTCCTCAGCCTGGGAAATTCGGACAGACCGCGGGGCAGGAGCGAGCGACTGCGCTCCTGTGAGCGCACGCGCGGGGGAGAGGCGGCGGCGGGCTCTGGCTGGGCTGGGAATACTCCCTAGTTCCGACCTTCAGGTCCAATCTTCCTTTCTCGGACCCTCCGGCTTATGTTCATTAACTTTGCTGGGTGATGAGGGGAAATGGCGGGAGTGCCACAGCCTTCCATGCCCCCCTGCGGGTCCCAGCCGGAATTCGGATACCTAACTGTGGTCTTTTCTGTGGCGCTGGTGGCTGCCATGGCGAAGGCGGCAGCGCAAGCCGTACTGAAGCAGTTTCGGCTTAGCGTAGGGGCTCGATCCCCTTTCCCTGCGTCTGGCGCCGCGGGAGAGACGCCCTGACGGACACCGCGCGCACTTCCCGGCGCGGGACCCGCTCACCGTCCGGCTACGTCGCCAGGCGCCCCGCCCCTCCCGCTCGCCAATTGGAGGCTCGAGCTCAGCCCCTACACCCCCTACACCAACCAGCGGCGCCAGGGAGAGGCGAAACCCGGCTCTCCTCCTTCCTCCGGGAAGCGGAAGCGGAAGTGACGTTCGGGGAAGGTGGGGGCAATCATGGTGCCGCTGGGGAGAGGAGAAGCTGTCGCTGCCGCCGTTGCCGGGAGCCGCGGAGGTAAAAGGCGGAACTAGACGTGACCTGGGCTGGGGACTTCCCGGGGGGGGGGGGGGCGCGCGGGACTTAGGCTTCTTCCTGAAGCATTTCCCAGTAGAGACCCCCAGTCCGGTCACCATAGAGACCCCACCCCTCCTCTGTTTCCATGGGGATGGGTATCCAGCCCCCTCCCCTGTTTCCATGGAGACCGGACCCTGCCCCTCTTCGCCAGGGTCGGAGCCCCCCAGCCTGTCTTCAGATTTTCCGGGTAGCCCAGGCTGGGAGCTCTCCCAGGCAGGCTCCTTTCCCAGCCTCCTCTCAGGGGTGCTGTTTGTACTCCTCGTTTGCCATCCTCAAACCTCCTGGTCGTGTTTGTTTCGGACAGTTGGTCTGTGTTTGCCGCCGACGGCGCCTGGGCAGCCCGGTGGGGCCCCCGTGCGCTTCTCTGTCCTCACAGATGCAGCGAAATGTGCATCTACCGGGTTGCATAAGCCAGAGCAGGGGGTCGGGCGAGTTCTTCCCTCGGCCTGTTTCTGGTAACTGTCTCCCTGTCTAGCGGCCCCACTACGTACAAGGTTCACCTTTTAATCCAGAGCAGAAGAGAAAGATAAAGTGCAAGTCCAGGCTGAAAACCAAAAGTGATGGGATTATTTTTTCAGTTCCCTGTTCTGCCTGCCAAACTCACATTTGTAGAACCTCAGTGTTTGCAGGTAAATCACTATTCCAAAACGGGAAAGCTTCACATTTGGTATTTTTCCCAAGAGAGCAAATCTTCCCAAGAGAGTGTATCTGCAGGTCTTCCATTCATCTAGCTGACATCTCCCGGACTCCCAGTGTCAGTGTACTGTGCTAGGGACACTGGAAACAACAACTCCTCATTCCCTCCTTGCAGAGAGCACGCTGTAGGAGGATGCTTCTGCTGGGCTCCAGATTGTTTTAGGAGGTAAAATGGTTTTCATTAGACATGTCTGGTTAAGGATCAGCCCCTCTACTCAAGCTGAACCATCTGTGGAAGGAAGGAAGGAAGGAAGGAAGGAAGGAAGGAAGGAAGGAAGGAAGGAAGGAAGGAAGGAAGGGAGGAAGGAATTCACACTTGTTTCCTTTGCTGTTGCTGTCATGTACATTATCTCTTTTACTTCACATAACAACTTTGAGAGGACAGAAATGACCAGTCTCACCTTACGCGTAAGAAAAATGGGGCACAGGAAAGTTCCCCACGTAGTAAGTGGCAAAGATGGACATTGTAGGTGGGTGACCCTGCCTCCAAAACTCCGCTCCTTCCACTATAGACTGCACTGCCTCCTGGCCTGATTTGGGGTCATATTTGAGTGAGGTTTCCTTACTTTTAAGATTTATGGCAACTCAGACTTGAAGCAGTTTGCCCCTTAGTTCCCTTTAGGTATTTTGACCAACCTTCCAATTGTTTGGCAGTAAAGCACACTTGGAAGGTCTTGTGAAATGCTACTTTTTACTTCAGTGTTGTTGTTTTTTAAAGGCATTGCTTTTAAAATGACTTGATGGTTTCAAAGTAAAACCTAAAAACTTATTCCCAGGGAAGATGATTTTTCCTTTACTTCGACCTGGTCTTGAAAGGAGAGGAAAACAGCCCTGTGGTTTCTGAGAAGGTCCTGAGGTGCTGGTGTGGCTCTAACTCTGGTTTGTTCTATTGCAGACAAGTCATTACTTTTCCATTTCTCACAATTGGGCTGAGCACAATTGAACCATGGGGGAACACAGTCCAGATAACAACATCATCTACTTTGAGGCAGAGGAAGATGAGCTGACCCCTGATGACAGGATGCTCAGGTTTGTGGATAAAAACGGACTGGTGCCTTCCTCATCTGGAACTGTATACGATAGGACAACTGTTCTTATTGAGCAGGACCCTGGCACTTTGGAGGATGAAGATGATGATGGACAGTGTGGAGAACCCTTGCCTTTTCTAGTAGGGGGTGAAGAGGGCTTTCATCTAATAGATCATGAAGCAATGTCCCAGGGTTATGTGCAACACATTATCTCACCAGATCAGATTCATTTAACAATAAACCCTGGTTCCACGCCCATGCCAAGAAATATCGAAGGTGCAACCCTCACTCTGCAGTCGGAATGTCCAGAAACAAAACGTAAAGAAGTAAGTAAAGCGGTGGGTGAGGGCTCAGTTTGGCTTTGGGGAAAGTCCTTACACAGCTCTTGGTGGCAATTTTAGCGAGAAGTAAAGGAGTCTGTGCCATTAGGACCTACAATGGCTTTCTTGTCAGTAATTCATGTTTCACGTTTTGTTGTGACTGTGGAGCTTTCGGTTTGTAAGGCTACATTGAAATTTGGGAAAACGAAAGTATAATGTTTCTCATATTCCTCCCCAAATCATAAATAAAATAGAAATCTCACTGAAGTACATTTATATTTCTGATGCTGGAATGACTAGATCTGGCTTACCTCTGGGTTATATATAAATGACTTGTTTTGGAGATGGAGTATCTGCTAGAATATGTTTTTTTTAGTGAATGTTGAATGAATAATAAAGGTTAGTTTTCTTTCATAAAAAATTTAGGCAAGAGACACTAAATGAGAGCAGGTTATCTAAAATAAGTTTTCATGCTTTTATTTAGCTAGTGTGAGTAAGGTAATGCATGTCACAGTGTTTTGGAAACTAAAACATTGTACAGGTGGTGATTATTAGCAGAATAAAAGATGTGATTTAAAGCTAGTGATATACATTATATAAGAACTAATTGAAGGTTAATTAGAAAAAAATAGATCACTGGTAGTTGCAATGCAGGGACTAAATGTAAAAGGTTACTGAATAGACATAGGGTAAATTGTTTGGCAAAATAGTTTTCTGTTGTAATGAAGGTCTTGAAATGGGGCATTCATGACATATGGCTTTTCCTTTGGTAGCCTTAGGATCTCAGAGCTGGAAGGAGCCCTAGAGAGACCATCTTGTCCCACCTCCTTACCCCATGCAGTAATCTCTATAGCATCTCTGACATCAGTTTACCTGGCCTCTGCTTGACCACTTCCAGAATGAGGAGGGCACAGTGTTCCACGGCTCAGCCTAATAGATTTATTGGCCATCTCTGATTGTTAGAAAGCTGTTATTTGTATGGAGCCAAAGTCGACCTTCCTGCAGTTGCCCACTCCTTCTAGTTCTGCCTTCCTGAACAACAGCAAGTTAAACCTTCCTTTCAAAGGACAACCCATCAGATATTTAAAGATCATGGATTTCTCTTCATCTTCACCTGTACAGGCTAAACCCCTCCATTTATTTAAAGATCCCTCTTATGACATTTTCCCCTTGCTTATCATCAGCTTGGTCACCTTTGATTGTATGAATTTCAGTTTCCAAATTCCTCTTAAAATTCATAATTGAGCATAATCTCACAAGTGTAAGTCCACTAGCACTGAATACTGTGTGACTCATCTCTTGATCTGGACACTGTACTACAATTACTGTATAGTATGTATATTATTAATAATGACATAATACTCTCAGCTTGTACTTGGAAACCTCCAGACTAGTGATTCTTATTTGGGGCAATTCTGTCCCCAGGATACATCTGGCAATGTCTGGAGACATTTTTGGTTGTCACCTGGGGGAAGTGCTATCGGAATCTCAGAGGTAGCATCCAAAGACCCTGTTAAATATTCCACAATGCACAGGACAGCCCACCCACAACAAAGAATTATATCGCCCTCCCGGCCAAGTGTGGCTCAGTGGTTGAACCTATGAACCAGGAAGTCACTGTTCAATTCCAGGTCAAGGCACATGTGCAGGTTGCGGGCTTGATCCCCAGTAGGGGGCGTGCAGAAGGCAGCCAATCAATGATTATCTCTTATCATTGATGTTTCTAGCTCTAGCTCTCTCTTCCTCTTTGAAATCAGTAAAAAAAATTTTAAATTTAAAAAAGAATTATGTGGCTCAAAATGTCAATTGTCTATGTTCCAGTAAAACTTTATTTACAAAATGGGCAGTGGGCTGAATTTGGCCCACTGGCTGTAGTGTGGACTAGAACATAGGAGTAGTTGTAGATAAAGGTGGAAAGATAGTAGAGATCAAGATAGGGAAGGCAGTGGTAGCATGCTAAGGAGTTTGGACTGTATTCTGGAACTAGAGGGAAACCATGAAGGTGTCTGAACCAAGAAGTGATATGGTTAGAGTGGCCTTTTTAAAAAGGTTGCTCTGGTAACTGGTTTCTTGATTGCCCAGACAGGAGATAGTTGTAGTTTAGGTTTGGGGTTTCATTTGAGTCTGATGAAGGATAGTGGCCTTTTATGTGGAGAAAATTGAGAGCTTTTCTTGCAGTATAAGAGAACTTGGTATGTTATGAGAGTCTGAAGATTGAGTCATGAATTGGGTATGATTCAAAGGATTCATTTAATTTTCCAAGTGTGTTGAGTTTCTTCTGTGTCTTAGCATAGGGGCCGCAGGGTTACTCTGTTCCAGATCTCTTCATGATTGGCAGAACTTCAGGTCTAGGTAGTGAGCTAAGTGGTTAGAGTCCATTGTGATAGGTCCTTTAACAGAGGCATATTCACAGTGCTGTGTGCATGCTGAGGAAAAAGCAGCTGACTGCTGGCCCCTGGCCCCTCTGGGAATGGCGATTCCATAACAGAATTCAAGAAGACAAGAAGAGGAGAAATTGATGATTTGTTTGGAGTATGTTAAATGCACAGTCCTTGGGGAAAATGAAGGTGAACATGTTGAGAAGTCCATTGGAACTATGATCTGAAGTCGAGGAAATGGCTTGAGATTAGAATTGTGGATCCATGAAGGGACAGTAGTTCAAACCACTATGAGTTTACTCAGGGGAGAAGAGTTGATCTGAGAATTTAAGGGTTAGAAAGAGAACCATAGATCACATAAAGAGAGAGAGATGGGTGGAATGCAGTGTTGTGGAAGCTGAGGGAAGAGCGTTCCAGGCTGTGTGAATATTTCTGTGTGACCCTGCAGAGGGATTGAAGGGCCCAAGAGGAGCCATTCGTCCTGCTGTCTGCACAGTTGATCACATCATGAGAAGATGTTCAGTAGAGCCCTGGGGGCTGAGGCCAGATTTTGAGTTTTGAGTGATGGAGAAATAGGTGGGTGGTGAGGAAACGGGAGGCAGGAAGTGTCAAGTTTGTGTGTGTGTGTGTGTGTGTGTGTGTGTGTGTTTAAATATGGTAGTTGGAGGAAAAGTGTTAAGGCAGTAGTAACTCAAGGGGATTGAATCATTTTTTAGCACAAAAAATCTGACATAGTTTAGGGCCCATCAGTGTTAATGATTACTAGTGAAAGTGTTTCAAGAGCAAATGTTAGGGAAACGTTAAGTTAAATCAGGACAGAGGTTTGATTATTACAGGGTTTCTTAGAGCTTTTGATGTGCCAATAAGTAAGAAGGAAGGAAAGGCAGAGTTCTCCAAATGTTTTGAACTTGGGAAACTATTTTTCAGTTTCATTTCCAGAGTCAGTGTTTTGGGGAACACATTTTGGGATATGCTGATCTAGACAGAAGAGGACGCGGTAGGGAAGGAATGATTATGCAATCAGTGATATGAGCTGTCACTTTCCCACTTTGCACTACTGACAAGTCTGGTTTACTGTTCATGTCTCAGGTCATTGATAATCATGTTGAGTAGGACAAGGTCAAGGGTATTACTAGTATGAACCCTTGTTCAGTGTACTGTGGATTTAGCTCACTGGACTTTCCCCCTCACCACATTTTTCCATTCAATCGATGAGGCCTACATGGAAGATTCTATAACCTGTTTTTGAATTCAATAGGTGTGGGGTAGGTTGGGGACTGAGAGAGAAGCAGCAGTGGCTTTTAGTCTTTTAAAATCTTGCTAATGACCAGGCATTCAGAAGACTTGCCTTCCTGAAGTACCATCTTACCTTAGCTTTTGCTTTCACAGTGATTTTATTTTTTTTGGCATTTAAATCCATTTTATAAACTATTTGGGAACATTCTCCACGATTCTTTACTCCCCCTCCCTTCTTTTTTTAAACTTAGTCTTTTTCTCCATTTCCCATTCTCTTACTCTTAAGAAATCTAATCATTTGAAAACTAGTTAGTCTTCTTGGCTTCTTAGGCAGCTTATTTTTCTGAGTCAGATTTTAGCCTGAATTTCCTGTTTACCCCGATTGTTGCATTGCTTTCTGTTGTGTGTAGTTGGCTTACCTATTACAGTCATGTGCCCCATAACAATGTTTCTGTCAAGAGGGACCGGTCAACAAAGAGCCGGTGGTTCCATAAGATTGTAATGGAGCTGCAATGTATTGTAGAAGTGTATACCTGAAACCCGTATAATTTAATTAACCAATGTCACCCCATTACATTAACAAAAAAGATTATAGTGGAACTGAAAAATTCCTATTGTCTAGTTGCTCCTAGGCTGCAAGCCTATATAGCATGTTACTGTACAAAACATGAGATTAAATCAAGCACAGGAGAATGTGATGCAATCAAGACATACAGTAAACACGAGATGTGTGAGACTGCTGCTAGCCTAACACAGCATACTGTTTTACAGCAAACTTTTTTTTGTATAAAGAGTACACCCTAAGCCCTAGCTGGTTTGGCTCAGTGGATAGAGCATCGGCCTGCGGACTCAAGCGTCCCGGGTTCAATTCCGGTCAAGAGCATGTACCTTGGTTGTGTGCACATACCCAGTAGGGAGTGTGCAGGAGGCAGCTGATTGATGTTTCTCTCTCATCGATGTTTCTGGCTCTCTGTCCCTCTCCCTTCCTTTCTGTAAAAAATCAATAAAATATATTTAAAAAAATAAATAAAGAGTACACCCTAAAATAACAATAAAAAGTATAGTATAGTAAATATATCAACCAGTAACATAGTCGTTTATTGTCATTATGAAGTACTATGTACTGTACATCATTGTATGTGCTGTGCTTTTATACGGCTGGCTGTGTAGGTTTGTGTACTCTAGCAACACCACTTGTAGCCTGGGTGTGCAGTAGGCTAGATTTGTGTAAGTGCACTCTATGATGTTTGCCAACAAAGAAATCGCTGAAGAAATCACCGGACGCATTTCTCAGAACATAGCCTTGCCATTAAGCAGCGCATGGCGGTACTTCATTGCTTTTTCCACATGCTTGCCTTGGACAGAAATAAACCAACCAGAGCCTTGCTACAG